GTTAGAAGAATGAGAAGGGGGTAAATGAGGTAATCAATAGAAATAGACTGAATAACACTGCAGAAGCAGGTAAAGAAGGTGGATTAGAAGAGGGAATATGAGGAGAAACTAGACCAGAAGAAGGCTGAGAAGTAACAGAAGAATAGAAGAGGAAGAAGGCCAGAAAAGGATTGAATAGCAAGCAATGTAGAAGAAGATGAGAAAGAAGACATATTAGCAAAAGGAAACACATGCTCATTAAAGACCACATGTCTAGACAGATAGACTCATCCTGTGAGTGGATCAAGACATTGATAGCCTTTAGCAAAAGAATGATAGCCCAGAAAACACAGGACACGATTTGGATGTAACTTGAGAGGCTGATAAGGCTTAAGCCAAGGAAGCATTGATAACCAAACACTCGAAAATAGGATAATCTAGAGAGGACTGAAAACTTTTTCAAAAGGAGATTTATGACCAAGTTTAGAAGAGGGAAGTCTATTAATGAGAAAAGTAGAGATAACAACAACATCAAACCAGTATTTTAATGGCACAGATGAGTGATGAAGAAAAGCAGTGGCAGTTTCAGTGATATGTCTATGTTTCTTCTCAGCAGTGTCATTCTGAGAAGGAGTGTGACGATAAGAATGTTGGTGAAGAACACCTTGGGTGTGCATGAAAGATTGCATTTTATTAGTAAAGTATTCAAATCCTCCATTAGTTCTCAGAATTTGCAGTGGAGTATGAAATTGTTTCCAATATAAGCCTTGAATTCTACGAACTTATCACACACTTCACTTTTATAAGATAATGGAAAAAGCCAAGTAAATCGGCTAAATCATCCGCAAAAGCAAGTAGTATTTATAACCAGAGGTAGAAGAATATGGCCCCCATATATCACTATGGATAAGAGAAAGAAAAGCATTTACAGTAGCATTAGACAATTAAAAAGGAAGTCGATGACTTGTAGCTATGCAACAATCAGTACAAACAGATGACATTTTATTCTGTGAAACATTCAAAAGTGGTTTAAGATGATTATACTTACTAATGAGGGATGACCTAATCTATTATGCCAAACAGAAGAAGAGACAGGTGTATGTGATGCAGTAAAGTAAGCATTACGGACAAATGAATCAGCAGCCATCACAGATGAAAAGAAGAGTGGAATTGGTATAGGCATTGGTACTAGAACCCTGATGAAGAATTCTCCTCGAATCCTTGTCATGAATCACAAATTTAGAATCATCAAAGGTGATGAGACAATTATTATCCTTAGTAAATTTGTGAACAGACAGAAAGATTAGAAGAAATTGAGGAGTATGTAAAATATGGTTCAATTTGAAAGGAACAATGAGGTGTAGGAAGCAACCTTTACCAGTATATTGTGAAATAGAACTGATGTACCATTACCTACGTGATCTGATCAGATCCTTGATAGGGCTGTGAGCAACTAAGGTTTTGAAGATCATGAGTGATATGATCTGTAGCAACAGAGTCCAAGTACCAAGGAGTGTGAGGAGTAGAGGCAATTGATTGAGTTGCAGTACAAAGGTCTGGAGTTGGACTAATGAGACTCAGAAGGATGCCGAGAACTAGAAGAAGATTAATATTGAGAATACATCCGATACCAGCAGTCCAATGCAGAGTGACTAGAGCCACACATCTGACAAGTTATAGATCAACCTCTGCCGTGAGAGAAACCTCCTTGATCATGAGAATTCCTTGTAAAACTACAACTGGAGAAAATTGATCCAGAACTACCACCACCTCTAGTATTGCCTCTGTAAGTGTTAACAACCCACATTCATGTCTTAGTCATGCTTGCATGATTTATATGTTTTGCCATGTTAAGTTGCATTGCCAATCTTGCCTTGTTTTGCTCAAGTGGTGTTGCATGCTTTGTTCCTTCTTTGCTGACCCCAAGCCTAAGTCATGCCAAGCCTAAGTCATGTTAAGCCTAGGTTAATCCAAGTCGAGGTCACCTTAAGCCTAGAACTGTTTTGGAACCATTTCCGGTTGACCTCCACCTTTGCCCTAACATATTGGGCGAGGATGTCATCATCTAGGCCGAGGTGTGCATCACCAGGCCGAGATGTGTATTATCTAGGCCGAGATATTACCTTTGTGCCTAAGTGATCTTCTCTCCTGGATTGGTACGACCTAGACCGAGGTGTGGCACATCTAGGTCGAGGTGTGGCACACGCTAGGCCAAGTGTTGTCCTTCCTAGCCGAGATCACTGAGACCTTACTTGCCGAAGCTTTGTCCTTAGCTTGAGATCATTACCTGCCGGAGTGCCTATGCCATCTTGCTTGTTGAACACACTTTGTCATAGTCGTTGTCTTTCACTCATCACCTTTTTGAGAAGAGCCAACCAGCCGATGTCACGTGTCCCAGTAGAGGGTTAAGTCAGTGAGCTGTTGAGAAACACATCATTTGTATCATATCCTTATCTTTTAGAGAGAGAGGCTCTAAGGAAGAAGAAGGAGGAGTTCTTTGAGGGGAATAGATTTCCAAGCTTGATCTTCACACCTTGAGCCGTTAGATTCGTGTCTTGCAGTTAGAATCTTGATCTACTCTTGTTGTTCTTATGTTCATCTAGCTGCATTCCACGATCGAGCACGATTTGTAAGCCATTCATTGATTTTAAAGTTTGGTTTTAGAAAGAGAATATGATATCATGTGTTCTTGAGGAAAACCTGATTTGATCCGAAGCTTGCATTAAGATCCATGTTTTTGTGTTTGTTTTCCAAGATCTTTAAGTATGGGTACCCAGGTCCATGTTTTCGAAACTCATACATGAAATCCCAGATTATGTATAAACAAGTCATGATTTTAGCATTTCATGTTCTTATGTTCTTCATGTTTATCAAGAGGAAGCCAGATTTTCCCGACTACATTTTCCTTGTGTGTGGCCATCGGGACCACACCTCGGCAAGGAGGTGTGGGACCTCGGCTAAGACCTGGTTGGTACCCAGCACGTCTTCCCGACATGTAAAACAGTGTTTTCACTTCAGCATGCTTTTGCCTTGTCTTGACTTAGTTTTGAAGGATCGCCAAGGTCATTTTTATGCATGTAAGACTTGTTTGAGACAGTACATTCAGTGGACTTTGCCATGTGTTTGTAGGACTTGGACCTTTGCTTGGATCCCGACGTCCCAAGAACTATGTGAGTGGTATTTTTAATAAAACTATTATAATGTTTTGATAAGTTTTGCTTGGCTTTGTTTTGAAAAGTATTTGATCAAACACGAATGATTATCCCTGTTTTGTGTACCAAGTATAAGCTTTGTTTTGGATGACATTTCTCGGGAAGTCTGTATGTGCTAGGGGACTTTAAGCATTTGTGGCACCAGTCCGTACGTGCAAGGGGACTATAAGCATTTGTTGCACAAGGTCTGTACGTGCCAGGGACTTTAAGCAATTTGTGGCACCAGTCCGTACGTGCTAGGGGACTATAACATTTGTAGCACAAGTCCTCTCATGCTAGGGGACCTCTAAGACCTATAACCAGGTCTTCTCCTACGGTATATCCGTAAAGATCTCATCCATTTGCTCTCAAAAATCCCTCTAGTCTGATCATCTAACCCTACTTAGGGCGTAAGCGCTAATATATGTTCACTATATTCCCTCCAATAACTAATTTAACAGCATAATCCTATCTCCTTTCCTAATGACCGCCACCACACTTTCCACAAGACCTTGGCAATTATGATTCCTACCCCATTCCTGCGTCTATCCTTACCACTATAATAAAGTTTAAAACCAGTATCCTCAATTTCCCTAGCTTTCTCTCCTGTCCACTTAGTTTCTTGTATGCAAGCTATACTAACTCGCCTCCTAATCATAACATCTACCAATTCCATCGTCCTACCAGTTTAAGGTTCCTATGTTCCAAGTGGCTATCCAAACTATAGTTCTTGGATAGCTTCGTTACCCGCGCTCGTCCAGAAAAATGCGCGGAAACCTTTGCCCATTTTTCACCGTACCCAGGCGTCGATGCGGCGCCCCTTGCTCACTTTTCGAAACACCCGGAGGCAGGCGCAACGCGTCACTTGAGGGGAACGACCTAGCATTTAAACGATTCAAAGTAGGATTCATTTTCATAAGGGATCCGAGCGGCTTTTTTACGTGTTGGTTGTCGGCTACCTAACACACAACCCACCTCCTTAACCCGGGCTTGGGACCGGCGGAGTTGTTAACAACCCCGGCGGAGTTGTTAACAACCCCGGCGGAGTTTTTTACTACCCGATAATAAATATAAAAAAAAAATACTTACATGTGTACATGTTTTGCCAACTATAGAATCGAATTCAATCACACGCAAGGGAGCATGTTAAATATATAATTTAAATATTAAATCTATTCATATGCTTCTAACAAGTTAAACTAATACGTGCGTGGTATAACTTTTAGATGAATTGATAGTAACGATATACGCAGATTTTTTTTTTAACAGAATCCAACCACATGTGAGGGGAGCGTGTTAAATATATTTTTTAAATATTAAATCTATTCATATGCTTCTAACAAGTTAAACTAATACGTGCGTGGTATAACTTTTAGATGACTTGATAGTAACGATATACGTAGATTTTTTTATTAATTTTTTCTTTTTAAATATATTTTAAAATTTATTATTAGAGCTAAAGATAGTAAAAGAACAGTGTTAGTCTAACTCAAAAGTTTGTTATATTTTTCAAACTAAATAATGTTCTAATCTATTAAAATATTTAAGCAAATTTTTTCTCTCTTATTTTTTTTTATTATAATAATCAACTAATTATTTCTTTTATATATGACTGAATTTTCAAATGGAATCTACTTAGACTTCAATACCATTTTCCTACTCATTTTCTTGCCGTTATAGTTGAAAACCATGTCAATAGTTAACTTTGGCACACGCATGCAAATGTAAATTAATGAGAACATCGACATTAATGGCTTCCCCATGAAAACCCTAGAATCAAAGTTTTTAGCCCTATAAATACAGCCTTGTGGAATGTCCAAAAACCATCCCCCCATCCCTCTCTCTCTCTCTCTCTCAAAAGAGAAATGACAGAAAGAAAAGAGAACATAGTGATGTTCCCATTCATGGCACAAGGCCATATCATCCCTTTCTTAGCATTAGCACTTGAGTTAGAAAAGAAAAATGGATACACCATAACCTTTGTGAACACTCGTCTCAACATCAAGAAACTCCGACCCTCATTCCCTCCAAACTCGTCCATTCGCCTCCTTGAAATCCCATTCTGTAACGCCCTCAAAATAATACATAAAACCCATCACTAGACATGCATTGATATAAAAGAAACCAACTATTTATATTCATCAGAGTAGTTCTTACAATAGTATTACATGTTAACAACAAAAGCAAATGCCCTATGGGCTTACAGCTTTCCAAGTCAACACCTGGTTACACAAACGAAGAGTACTAACTCTATACAAAATAAGCCCTTGGCTTAATATACATGTAATACAAACAAAATAAACAAAAAGAGTCTCCAACTCTCATCATCATCCAAGCTATGCCCTTGGAGGTGGCATACTACCTGTAACTGAAAATAATGTCCCATATAGGGTGAGCCAACGCCCAGTAGAAATATGCTAAACACAGTATGAGCAATAACTAAGACATTAGCAATTGATAAATGTTCAATTTCCATAAATCAATTCATAATCCATTTCCCTTTCATGACCACTGTTTTCATGTTTCATTTCATTTTCCATTTCTTATCAATTTCACAATTTACATCAAAGGCTCAGAACCTGGCCAACCACTTATATGAGACTGTGACTCATATTAAACGTTTCCCATTTTACAATAGATCAACATACTAGTTGTATCAACGTTTCAACAGATAAGCATACAAACTGTATCCACATTTCAACAGATATGCATATTAGCTATATCAACACTTCCAAACATAAGCATATGAGTTGTATCAACACTTCCATAGATAAGCATATAAGTTGTATCAACACATTAACTGACAAGCATATGAGCTGTATCAGTGGAGTCCATCCCCTATCTCCTCCCAAACAACATCCGGTTTAGAGGTCGATCCCCTATCTTCCCCTAAACCGTGGAGTACATCCCCTATCTCCTCCCACACACACAAAACGAAGCTTCAAAGATCTTGGGAGAAAACTGGCTTTGAAGCCAACTACAGGCTTTCGAAGCCCAGCTAAGCATTTAAAAATATACTTCCCTCCCATAACTTACTACTGAAAGAGACTCTCTATGATGTGGTTTTAAAACCCCTTATGTTCTGAAATTAGCATTTTAATTCCACATAAGTCAAAACCATCAAATGGTTTATTTCGGGTCTAACTAACCCGTTGGGTTAAATTGGTAATCTTTTGGACAGAAAGGTTAAAAACCCTTTTTCCTTCACGCTTTGCCTATTCTCTTGCCTAAAATTTCCCTTCTCACCCTTATTGCTCTCGCTTGCAACTTTCCACTCCTTATCTACCTTCCTCTTTCAACTCCTCAATAATGGCTTCTTCATCTCTAAAAGTGCCAGTTTTTGAGTGTGTAAGCCGCTCTGTGACTTTAAGGAGATTCATCAATGAAGAATGTGAGAAATATAAAGCTGGTGAATGGTGTGCTGTCAATGGACGCATCCTTATTCCTCGTCACCATGTTTAAGGAGAGTATGTGCTTGGACCCATTTTCAGGGAGGCCCCTGCTCAGCTCCCTGCCTTATACCCTCGTCTGGAAGACCATTGCCTACTCTAAGAGGGTGGGCTTGACTGGGGGAGCTGGAGGTTGAATCGACCCTACCGCTGCTGGCCCACAATGATACCCGAATGGAAAGAATGGTATGATTGAGTTGTCCACGCTAAGACACTAGCTTGGACCATTATCTTCAGCCTCGATGCCCTTTGACTAGCCAGGTTTTCTATCCCTAAAAACCCTTTTCTCATACCAACTGCACTCCGTTTTTGAAATCCATCCTTCAATTTTTTCCAATTTCGATGTGGTATAATGGACCTTACCTCCCGCTCGAGCGGAGAACACAACGCTCGAGCGTCAAGAACAAAAAACTAGGTATGCTCGAGCGCAAGAAGGCCCGCTCGAGCGCCAAGACACAAGAATAAAGCACATCCGCTCGAGCGTGAAAACTAGTCCGCTCGAGCGTAGATTTCCCCTTCCCAGAACTTACACTAAAAAGTACTACTCGCTCGAGCGCCAGAGTACCCGCTCGAGCGTAAAGAAACCCACTCGAGCGTGAAAAACATGCTTGCAGAAGTTCTGTAGAGCACCAAAATACTGGGAGTGCGCAATATCCACTTGAGCGCAAGAAGACCTGCTCGGGCGGACCTCCTAAAAACTGGGCAACAAAGAATTGAAACCAAAGTCTAACCAACCTGTAACAACTCTGCCCAATACATCCTAAAACTCAATCAAGCGGAATTAAAGGATGACAACAAGGTATACCACCACCAACATCACGGAACCCAAGTCCGGAAAACAATAAATACAGAAAGGTAAAACCGGAATCGCTATACATTCAATAGCTCCGACCACAGCCTCCCTCCAGACACCGAAAACACGGGCTCTCTCCCTCTCCTCCTCCACCTCATCGTCATCTCTCCCGCTCTGGAGCCTGCCTTCCGAGACCTCATCTCCAGCATCGTCCTCGAACATGGCCGCCCACCACTTTGCATTATTTCGGACATGTTCTTCGGATGGTCTACCAAAGTTACTCATGAATTCGGTGCATTTCGTGCAATATTCAATGCTAGTGGGAGCTATGGCATGGCTGTTTTTCACTCTTTATGGCTAAACCTTCCTTACAAGAAAGTGAATTCCGAGGAGTTTCGTATGCCGGGCTTCCTCAGAGGCCACCAGGTTCACACCAAACAGTTACCAGAACATTTTCAAGTAGCAGTGCCCGGTGATTCGTGGTGCTCATTTTCACAAGATGCGTTTTGAGATTGGTTGGAGAGTGATGGGATTTTGTACAACACCATGGAGGAGATTGACCATGTTTGTAACGCCCTCAAAATAATATATGAAACCCATCATTTTAGACATGCATTGATACAAAAGAAATCAACCATTTCTATTCATCAGAGTAATTCTCACAATTGTATTACATGTTAACAACAAAAGCAAATGCCCTATGGGCTTACAGCTTTCCAAGTTAACACTTGGTTACAAAAAGAATGAGTGCTAACTCAATACATATTAAGCCCTTGGCTTAAATTTACAGGTAATACATCAAAATAAACAAAAAAAAAAGAGTCTTCAACTCTCATCATCATCCAAGCTATGTCCTTGGAGGTGGCATACTACCTGTACCTAAAAATAATGTCCCATAAAGGGTGAGCCAACGCCCAGTAGAGATATGCTAAACACAGTATGAGCAATGACTAAGACATTAGCAATTGATAAATGTTCAATTTTCACAAACCAATTCATAACCCATTTCCACTTTCATGAGCACTATGTTCATGTTTCATTTCAATTTCCATTTCTTATCAATTTCACAATTTACATCAATGGCTCAGAACCTGGCCAATCACTTCTATGAGACTGTAACTCATATTAAACATTTCCCATTTTACAATAGATGAACATATTAGTTATATCAACATCTCAACAGATAAGCATACAAGTTGTATCCACATTTCAACAGATATGCATATTAGCTATATCAACACTTCCAAAGATAAGCATATAAGCTATATCAACACATTACTTGACAAGCATATGAGCTGTATCAGTGGAGTCCATCCCCTATCTCCTCGCAAACAACATCCAGTTTAGAGGTCCATCCCCTATCTTCCCCTAAACCGTGGAGTACATCCCCTATCTCCTCCCGCACATACAATGTATATACACATAGGTCATATACACAATCAATCAATACATAACGTTAATGTATTCTATCAACCGTCATACTCTATGACATATCCAATTGATTAGTTTTAGTTTGCCTAATCATCATGCATTGTCTACAACAATCAAAACTACCCTCCACCGGTAGCCCAAGCAATTATTTCTAAACAGATAATAAAAGCTCCAACAGATAAAATATCAATGTTTTCAAAAGTGAGCGATTAATAAATCTAACTCCACTATTCAACCATATAATGAACCAATTTCATTATTTTCAACTCAATTCCATATAATCATAATTTTTTCCAAATTAATTATACCAATTAATTTATTCAACAAATTAGGGTTTTCTACCCCATTTCCCAATATTGACCCAATGGCCCATGCATCAACAACCAACAACAACATCATTATTTTGAAACCCAAAATACATGTTTAAGAATCAAAACATCAAACCCTCGTTTATACCCTTTTGAAACCCTAAGTCCCAAAATCAACCAACATCAACACTTTATCAAAACTACCAATAATCTATGTCGAAGACCATAATAGTGAGTAGGAATCCCTACCTCAAATTCGGAGCTCAAGGGAAGAAGATGACGAAACTCAACGTGCTCCAAAACTCGAAATTTTCGGATCAAGGTAAAGCCCTCGACGATCAACCCAACTTTTGTGAAGACCAAAGGTGAGGAAAACACCCTAGCTAGATCAATACTTAGAGAGAAGTTATGATTTTAGAGAGAGGAGCTCTCAAATGGCCTTTTGGAAAAGTAAGAGAGAGAGAGAGAATGCAAAAAGTGATTTTAAAATGCCCAGTTGTCAACTGATATACGACATTCCCGCTCGAGCGGAGAACACAACGCTCGAGCGTCAAGAATAAAAACTAGGTACTCTCGAGCGCAAGAATACCCGCTCGAGCGCCAAGACACAAGAATAAAGCACACCCGCTCGAGCGCGAAAACCAGTCCGCTCGAGCGTAGATTTCCCCCTCCCAGAACTTACACCCAAAGTTACTACCCGCTCAAGCGCCACAGCACCCGCTCGAGCGCCGCCGCTCGAGCGTAAGGAAACCCGTTCGAGCATAAAAATCACGCCTGCAGAAGTTTTGCAGGGACACAAAAAAAAACTGGGAGCATGCAATCTCCGCTCGAGCGCAAGAGGACCCGCTCGAGCGGACCTCCTAAAAACTGGGCAACAAAGAATTGAAACCAAAGCCTAACCAACCTGTAACAACTCTGCCCAAAACATCCTAAAACTTAATCAAGTGGAATTAAATGATGATAACAAGGTATACCACCACCAACATCACGGAACCGAGTTCGGAATACAACAGAACAGTAAAGGGGGCAACCGGGATTGCTATAACCTCCCCCCCTTAAAGAATTTCGTCTCCAAAATTAAACACAAGTTTTTCAAAAACAAGATTTTCTCAATTCCCAACATTATCACAACATAACATTAAACAACCCGACCCGTTACCGGTCAATCCCATCTCTTTTCAAGAGGCATTTCAGATTACACGTAGCAACCTGCATTATCAACATGCATTCCTTTGAAATCTACCAATTTCAACCTGTTTCTCACAATTTCTTAACACATGCAACATTAATATTATGTTTGCATTTCCACAATACATTAATATAAGCAATGTTAAAACAAACTTCCATTAACCAAAACATTCACAATGTTTTACAACTTAAGACACATATAATGTTCTTAAAGTTCAACGATGTCACAAAATTACCAATACCTGCTTACATATCAACAAACAAGTCCGAATATTTCTCGCGGACTTCCAACTCACGTTCCCAAGTGGCTTCCTCCACTCCGTGATGTTTCCACAAAACCTTCACCAAAGGAATGGTCTTGCCACGCAGGACTTGATCCCGCCTATCCAAGACCCGAACCGGTCTCTCCTTATACGAGGCATCCTCATCTACCTCCAAGTCGGTCCAATCTAACACATGGGACGGATCCGGCTCATACTTCCGAAGCATACTCACATGAAACACGTCATGCACTCTGGAAAACTGCGGCGGTAAAGCTAAACGATAAGCAACCTCGCCAATCCTCTCATGGATCTCAAAGGGACCAACAAACCGAGGGGATAACTTCCCACTCTTCCCAAACCTCATCAAACCTCGTCTAGGTGATATTTTCAAGAAGACATGATCACCTACCTCAAACGCCAAAGGTCTCCACCTACGGTCGGCATAACTCTTTTGGCGACTCTGGGCTGTAACAAGCCTCCTACGGATAAGCTCAACTTTCTCCGTCGTCTCCCTAACCAACTCCAGACCCAACAAAGGTGCATCACCCACCTCGGCCCAACACGCTGGAGACCTACATGGGCGGCCATACAAGGCCTCAAACGGTGCCATACCGATGCTAGATTGAAAACTGTTGTTGTAGGCAAACTCCACCAAGGGCAAGTGCCTCTCCCACGTCCCACTAAAGTCAAGGACACAACCTCGAAGCATATCCTCAAGGATCTAAATAGTACGCTCGGACTTCCCGTCAGTCTGAGGATGATAAGCCATACTAAAGGTCAACTTAGTGCCCAAGGCAGCCTGCAAACTCTGCCACAACCTAGCAGTAAAACGAGGATCTCTATCTGAGACGATCGTCACTGGGACTCCGTGCAATCTCACTATGTCCCAAATGTACAAGTCGGCGAGATGATCTACCGAATCTCTCACGCGCATAGGAATGAAATGCGCCGACTTAGTCAACCGGTCTACAACCACCCAAATGGCATCACTACCCCGCTGAGTCCTCGGAAGACCTACAACGAAGTCCATAGTGACATGCTCCCACTTCCACTCGGCAATAGGCAAGGGTTGCAACAAACCCGCTGGCCTCTGATGCTCGGCCTTCACTTGTTGACAAGTAAGGCACTTCGATACGAAAACAGCCACATCTCTCTTCATACCCCGCCACCAAAACTGGCGATCAAAATCCCGATACATCTTAGTGCCTCCCGGATGCACCGCAAGACGTGAATGATGGAACTCTCGGAGTACTTCCTCTCGGCAAGACTCCAACACAAACAAACGGTCTCGGTATCTCACACTCAGGTCAGGATACACCGTCAAACCCTTCTCAACCTTCCCATTTGAGATCTTCTCTCGGAGGGATTCTACCTCAAAGTCACCTCTCTGTGCCTCTAACACTCGGGTCACAAGTGTAGGTTGCGTAACAACAGAAAACAAGGCCGCAGCCTCAGCTGATTCACTCAGAAGCAAGTCAAACTCGCCAAGCGCACCCAACATCTTCCATTCCCGGATGGCTATACAGGCTACATCACTAATGGATTTCCTACTAAGGGCATCGGCCACAACATTGGCCTTTCCCGGGTGATAGTGCAACTCAAAATCATAGTCCTCAATGAACTCCATCCATCTCCTCTGCCTCAAATTCAAGTCTCTCTGTGTAAATAGATACTTCAAACTCTTGTGGTCCGAGAACACCTCGAACCTCTCACCATACAAAAGAAATCAACCATTTCTATTCATCAAAGTAATTCTCACAATTGTATTACATCTTAACAACAAAAGCAAATGCCCTATGGGCTTACAGCTTTCAAAGTTAACACTTGGTTACAAAAAGAAAGAGTGCTAACTCAATACATATTAAGCCCTTGGCTTAAATTTACATGTAATACATCAAAATAAACAAAAAAAAAAGAGTCTTCAACTCTCATCATCATCCAAGCTATGTCCTTGGAGGTGGCATACTACCTGTACCTGAAAATAATGTCCCATAAAGGGTGAGCCAACGCCCAGCAGAGATATGCTAAACACAGTATGAGCAATGACTAAGACATTAGCAATTGATAAATGTTCAATTTCTACAAACCAATTCATAACCCATTTCCACTTTCATGAGCACTATGTTCATGTTTCATTTCAATTTCCATTTCTTATCAATTTCACAATTTACATCAATGGCTCAGAACCTGGCCAATCACTTCTATGAGACTGTAACTCATATTAAACATTTCCCATTTTACAATAGATGAACATATTAGTTGTATCAACATCTCAACAGATAAGCATACAAGTTGTATCCACATTTCAACAGATATGCATATTAGCTATATCAACACTTCCAATGATAAGCATATGAGTTGTATCAACACTTCCAAAGATAAGCATATGAGCTATCAACACATTATTTGACAAGCATATGAGCTGTATCAGTGGAGTCCATCCCCTATCTCCTCCCAAACAACATCCGGTTTAGAGGTCCATCCCCTATCTTCCCCTAAACTGTGCAGTACATCCCCTATCTCCTCTCGCACATACAATGTATATACACATAGGTCATATACACAATCAATCAATACATAACGTTAATGTATTCTATCAACCGTCATACTCTATGACATATCCAATTAATTAGTTTTAGTTTGCCTAATCATCATGCATTGTCTACAACAATCAAAACTACCCTCCACCGGTAGCCCAAGCAATTATTTCTAAACAGATAATAAAAGCTCCAACAGATAAAATATCAATGTTTTCAAAGGTGAGCGATTAATAAATCTAACTCCACTATTCAACCATATAATGAACCAATTTCATTATTTTCAACTCAATTCCATATAATCACAATTTTTTCCAAATTAATTATACCAATTAATTTATTCAACAAATTAGGGTTTTCTACCCCATTTCCCAATATTGACCCAATGGCCTATACATCAACAACCAACAACAACATCATTATTTTGAAACCCAAAATACATGTTTAAGAATCAAAACATCAAACCCTCGTTTATACCCTTTTGAAACCCTAAGTCCCAAAATCAACCAAGATCAACACTTTATCAAAACTACCAATAATCTATGTCGAAGACCATAACAATGAGTAGGAATCCCTACCTCAAATTCGGAGCTCAAGGGAAGAAGATGACGAAACTCAACGTGCTCCAAAACTCGAAATTTTCGGATCAAGGTAAAGCCCTCGACGATCAACCCAACTTTTGTAAAGACCAAAGGTGAGGAAAACACCCTAGCTAGATCAATACTTAGAGAGAAGTTATGGTTTTAGAGAGAGGAGCTCTCAAATGGCCTTTTGGAAAAGTAAGAGAGAGAGAGAGAATGCAAAAAGTGATTTTAAAATGCCCAGCTGTCAACTGATATACGACATTCCCGCTCGAGCGGAGAACACAACGCTCGAGCGTCAAGAACAAAAACTAGGTACACTCGAGCGCAAGAATACCCGCTTGAGTGCCAAGACACAAGAATAAAGCACACCCGCTCGAGCGTAGATTTCCCCCTCCCAGAACTTACACCCAAAGGTACTACCCGCTCGAGCGCCACAGCACCCGCTCGAGCGCCGCCGCTCGAGCGTAAGGAAACCCGCTCGAGCGTAAAAATCATACCTGCAGAAGTTTTGCAGGGACACAAAAAAAAACTGGGAGCGTGCAGTCTCCACTCGAGCACAAGAGGACCCGCTCGAGCGGACCTCCTAAAAATTGGGCAACAAAGAATTGAAACCAAAGCCTAACCAACCTGTAACAACTCTGCCCAAAACATCCTAAAACTCAATCAAGTGGAATTAAAGGATGACCACAAGGTATACCACCACCAACATCACGGAACTGAGTCCTGAATACAACAGAACAGTAAATGGGGCAACCGGGATCGCTATAATGTTGGGATGGAGTATTTTAGGCATCAAATTGGCTGTTCCGTGTGGCCAGTTAGGCCTATTCTGTCTTCCTTGGGAAGCAAAGCTCGTGTTGGTGATGACGCTGAAGCCACAATGCATCTTTGCATGAAATGGCTTGATTCAAAGCCTACAAATTCAGTTCTTTATGTGGCGTTTGGGTCACAAAGTGCACCATTACCATCACGAACAATCCAGTTGGCCATAGCTTTGGAAGCTTGTGGCAAAAATTTCATTTGGGTGGTTTGGTCACCACCATCGAACTCAGTCACAGATCATGAACATAACGATGGAGAATGGTTGTCGAGAGGCTTTGAAAGTCATATTGAAGATAGCAACAAAGGGCTGCTAGTGCAACAATGGGCACCCCAATTGGAAATTTTGTCCCATAAATCTCTATGTGTGTTTTTAACCTACTGTGGGTGGAACTCAGTGCTTGAAGCTCTCAGCAATGGAGTCCCAATGCTTTCATGGCCGATAGGGGCAGAACAAAACTTCAATGCCAAGATGTTGGAGGAAGAGATAGGACTCTATGTTGGGGTGGCTAGTGGGAGCAGTGAGATTAATCATAAAGATTGGTTTGTAGCAAAAGTTTTTAGCCTCTTTTGGGAACATAGTTTTTAGCCACTTTTTTTGGTTTGTAGCAAAAGTTAAAAGTTGGCTTTTTTGGCTTTTTTTTCATTTGGGAAGTTGGTTTTTAGCCAATGGTGAAATTACAATTCTACCCGTCATGTGTCAAAATGTATTATCCGGGTGAAGTTGTAAATATTTTAAATTAAATTGGGGTAGTTTGGTCATTTTATTGTGATTTGACATCATAAACAAATATTAATAAAAAAAAAGCCAAAAAGTAACTTTTTACTAACTTCCCAAATCATTTGTCTCAAAAAGCCAAAAGCTTGGTTAAAAGTCAAAAAGTCACTTTTTACCATCTTCCCAAACTAGGCTAGTGAAAAAGATTGATATGGTGATGGGTGGGTCAACTAAAGGGAAAGACATGAAAAACAAAGCTTGTGAGGTTATGGAGATGCTTAACAAAGCCAAAATGATTATAAAGGGGTCAAGGGGTCTTCAGCCAAAGCCATGGAGGATTTTCAGTATGCTGCATTGTCAAAGTTCTGTAATTATTAAACCAACCTTGCAGATCACAGTCAAATGATCTAAGGGGGAGGCTGCTTTCAATGTTTTTACTTATATATTATTCCTATACCTGTGTGTCTGTTTTCTAGTTTCAGTTTAATTGGATTAGAAGGTCAATGCCTTGATTCCAATTAAACAGAACATAAATCACTATCTATTTTACTGTTGATTTTTGTATTTATTTTTCATTTTCTAATAGAATAATATGCCCTTTCTCGCCAATCTTGGTTCTTGTTTTCTAGTTGATTGGAAAAATGTTTGCCTCTATTTGAGAAGAAGGGTTTGGGCTATTTAGTCACAAAAAGATAAAATAAGCTTTTTAATCTAATAAGAAAAAATATTACATCCAATTCATAAGCATTATATTCTTTTTCTCATAAAACATAAAAAAGTCAAAAAATCCTTCCCAAACGAAACTTTTTAGCCATAGGTTAAAATAGTCAAAAAGTCAAAAAGCTAACCCACTTCCCACACAAACCCTTAGTATACATCTTTCATTGCCTTAACTTTCTACTATTTATGTACACATAGATGTATGTTGAAGCTCATGTATTTGTTGTTGTCTTCTGTAATATTTATTTTTTTATATAAGACTTATGACTTATCTATAAACAAAAAAAAAAAAATTTACTGTCTTCAATATTTTTGTGCACATCCATAAAAAAAAAAAAAACAAAAAATACTCTAAAAAGGGTAGAAATGAGTGAATTATATTGAATTATGATTGTTAGAATATTATTATCATTTTTATATTTATAAATAATTTTTTATAGAATGATAAAAAAATAAAAAGTCATTATGATTGCATGATACGGGTCATGCAAAGTATTGTCATGAATGACCGATGAATGACTTTTAATTATAAAACACTATGTTCTAAGGATTGAGATATTAGAATGAACTAACCAAAGTAATTTTTTGCATGCAAATATGCTTCTATATATCTTGGATGGTATGGGAGGATTTTACAAGAAAAATACAAATGGTTTGTAATAAAGGGGAAAAAAAAAGGGATATTGGAGTGAATTAACAGAAACAATTTTTTTGCATATAATTTTTATATGACCATCAAAGTTTAAATCCTGTAACCTGTGGATTATGGATCCATCATGCTTCCGCCACGCTACTTTAATTCTTGTTAATTATTGGCTTATACATACCTTTTATATGTAAAGTAATTGAAATAACAACAAATTGTATATTAAGTTAATTATTGGCTTATACATGCTTTTTATATGTGAACTAATTGAAATAACAACAAATTGTACATTAAGATCGGTGAGAGAGTTTATTCTTATCAAATTCAAATTATGGTTTCAACCCCAGGTAAGATAGAACTACAGCAGCTACCAAAAGAAATTAATCATAAATTCTTCTAGTAGTATACCACTAAAGGAGGGCAATGACAGGAAGTCTAAATCCTAAATCTTAATTTAAAATTTAAATTATTAATATCTATAAAATTTGTTACTGGTTTGAATGATTTTATTAAACTTATAATAAATTGTAATTTTCAAAAAAATAAAAATATTATTACACATTTATCATATCTAATTATGTCATTTTTATGAATAAGCCAAATTATTTGGCTTACAATTTTAACCTTCATCCTAGTATGGAATTAATAGGGAAAATTAGTAATACATCCTTAAATCCAAATGTATAGGAGTATAAATCGTACTTAGGTAGTTGAGGTCTCTAAATTTTTAAATTTTAGAAGCTCCAGTTACTTTCAACGTTTTTATATATTTTTGTTTGCCTAATATGCCCTTGTGCAATCAAAGCGTCTTTCGTGTCATTCCTAAATGATTATCTTCTTTTAAGATAACAATAACTGGTTTACAGCTTTCCCCTCTAACATGAATTCTATTCTACTGTAAACTCTCCTCTCTAATGATAATCTTAACAAACTACGTGATGCATCTTGCAATCATGGTAGCTATCTGCTATCTTCCAAAATACTCTTCGTACAATGGTGATCAACCCTTGAAGGTGCCTTTGAGTATGTAATAATATTGAAGTGTCTATTGTAGAATCATCTTAATCTTAATAGCTCTTTTTTAATTTTTAATTTTATATTTATTTAGTATGGAGTCCCACAAGAATATAAATATTTATTATTCCTTTTGAGAACTTAGAGTTGTTGGGTAATTGTTTTCCAAAATTTAGTTTACTTCCGAACTCCAAAGAAAAATGCTACATATGATCATATTTTTTACTCTTTCTTATTTGCCACTTCTTTATATAAGTGGATGAGTCCTACATGTATTTATTAATGTCTGTCCTATTACTTTGTATCTGAGAGTTGGAAAATGAGTTAAAGAATAAGGGGTTGTTTGGGATGTCCTAAATAAGTGTACTTTTTGTCTTTTTGGATTAAAAAGTAGAGGAAAAAAAATGGATGTTTGGGTTAACTTTTTGACTTTTTATGAAAAAATATATATTAAAATATTGTATAAAATTGTAAAATTATGAAATTATCCTCCCTGACTGTGTAGTGCAATTTCTGTCCCTTTTCAATTTTTTTTATTATTATTTTTTATGGCATGTGTGGCTTAGAAATGTGCCACGTTTTCAAACCACTTGGGATATGTGGTTGGCTGTACAGTTTTGTGCAGCGTCGTTTTGCTCTTCTTTTCTTTCTTTTTTTTCTTTTTTGTTTTTGGAATTGATAGATTTCTTGCCAAAAAAATGGTACATAGTATGAACTTTTTTGCTTTTTTAGTGACTTTTTGACTTTTTAAATTTTTTTGATGATGCCAAACTTGGCCTAAGATTGTGTATAGTAATGGTCATCCTCAAATCATCTCTATAGGTTAGAGAAATTTTACTAACTAAGGGGTTGTTTGGAAAATGCTAAATTAGTATACTTTTTGACTTTTTACAAAAAAAAATGTGAAATGTGTGTTGGGATTGAAGTGATGTGGTAGAGAGGTGATATAACCCAAAGAAGAGGTGATGTGACTCAAATAAGATGATTGTAACCCAAATAAGATGATATGCTAAAATACACATGCCAAACAACAACTCCGGATCATCTGTCGTGATTCCCTGCGGCGCTTCCTGCGGCCGTCCAAAACGACGTCGCTTTGAAACTCTTTTTTTTTTTTTTCTTTTTCTCTTTTCCCCTATTTTTATAGTGATCCCGGGTTTACCCTTGTTGTACAGTGATCCGGACATGTGTCCGTGGATGTTGGTAGTTGTTTATTTTCTAGTTTGCATCCTCTTTACTTTGTATATTGAGTTATAAGATGCGTTGGGCAGGTTTGTTACCAGTTGGTTGCGTTTGGGAGCCTAGTGTTGCTGCCCAAATTTTTGGTCCTTCGTTCGAGCGAGGAGTTTGTCGCTCGAGCGAGAGTTGTGTTGCACCGGTTCTGGACCTGAGAGCTGTCTTTCTTGGCTCGAGCGAGCTTTTCGTGGCTCGAGCGGTCTGGGTTTTTCTTCGCTCGATCGAGAACTTCTTGGCTCGAGCGAGAGTTTTCTGTGTCTGGTCGCTCGAGCGACCAATCCTTCGCTCGAGCGAGCGTGTTTTATATCAGCGCACAGCAGCGTCTAAAACATCACTTTTTCACTTCTTTTCTTTGAGCAAACCCTTAATCCGACACTCTCTCTCTCTAAACTTGCACTCTCTCTAAGGTTTGATCTCCCTAGGGTGTGAATCTAGCCTAGGGCCTTTGTTAAAAAGATAGAGGGCGTTGAGAGCTTCGATTTAATCTGAAAAAGTTTGGATTTGGAGCAAGTTGATCTCGGAGTCTTCATCTCCTTTTTGGCTTAAACTTCAAGGTAGGGATATCCTACTCCTCTCTATGGGTTTTGTCTTTAAATTTTGGTATTTTGAGATGTTGGGCTTGGTTTGGTAATTTGTATATGCGCAAGTTACAGGTGACGCAAAACATATTATAGAACAATTTATAAAAACTAAATGAGACCTTTTAGTGATTAAACAAATATTACAGGTTGGCTTTTGGCTACTAAAACTTTAGTCGCCAATTGTAAAAAAACTGAAACTTTTGGCTATTAAACTTTTAGTTGCCAATTGTAAAAAAGAAATTTTTGGCTACTAAATTTTTAGTCGCCAATTCTCAAAAAGTAAAACTTTTGGCTACCAAATAGTTAGTCGCCAAACACACATGCTCAATTGGCTACTAAATTATTTAGTCGCTAAAAGTAAAAATATACATATATTTAATTATTTTTAAAAAATATATGGCGACTAAATTTTTAGTCACCAATAGGTCACTTTTGGCTACCAAAAAAATTTTAGTCGCCGATTGTCTTTCCCGACGAACTATTGGCAACCAAAATAAGGCTTTTGGAAACAAAAATTTTAGTTGCCAAAAGTGAAATTTCTTGTAATGTGGGAACTAACTTTTATCACTTCAGAGCTCATATGCTTGTCTAGAGAAGTGAAGATAGAGCTCATATGCTTATCTTTGTGAAGTGTGGATATAGCTTGTATGCTTATCTGTGGATATTGTTGATAT